AACCCAAACCATTCTGTGATTCTATGAAAGATAATGACTGTGTGCTGCATGGGTGATTCTGTTCTACTCTTGGATTATACAATTGTTCTCGTTTAGTAATTAAACCATGACTGATTGAGAAGTGTCATTGGGCAGAGGAAATGTGTTTTCATGTGCTGTCAGACTTGGAAGGGAAGTGATCACTCCCTTGTAACTGTTTAAACTGAAAGAGGGGAGGTTTAGATTAGATATTAGGAAGAAGTTCTTCAGTGTGAGGGTGTAGAGGATCACCTTATCCCTTGTACAGGATATGTGTTTAAAGTGCTGGGTTCCCATTCCTGCACTGATGGGAGAGACAGGAACAAAGCAAGAGTGATATAATCCAACAGAAACCTGGCCCACTGCAAATCTGAAATGTGATTTGCTTCAGTGGCCCTGGAGTCTGATGAGCCCAAATAGTTCCATTTAATGGTTGAAGAAAGAAGAGGTTACCTAAGCTGAAAAGCAATAAATTAGTAGGTTGGAGAGGAAGAATAAAAAAAAACTGGCAGGAAATTGTATATAGTGAGGCAAGTTTCTTTCTCTTTCCTTTTACTGCCTTATTTTGTCATTTTACACTAAGAAGCCCCAACCTTGTGCAGAACCTATTGATGGTTGTAATAGTGGGTAAGTTGAATTTGTAGGAATGGAGGTTGGCAGCATCTTCCAATAGAAAGGAAATCCTGAACATAACATGCATTGAGTTAAAAAAACCCCAAAAACCAACAAGGAAGTGATATCAGAGGGATATCAGTGGACAGCTTAGATCTGTGTCAGGAGGAGTGCTTATAAATGGGAATAAAAAAAGACTGACTAGCTCAGGGAAGCTGATTATATTTTTATGAAATAACAGTATGGTTAAAAGGGTTTGGAAACTGTTCCCTTTGAATCATGCAGTTGTATTTTCTTTATCCAAGCCTTAATGGTGTGTATTTCATACCTTTTACATATAAACTTTTTAGAAACCTTCTTTCCCATGAGTTTATAAATATACAGTGTGATTTAGGTCACCTTCAGTCAGATATTGTCTGTTGTGATGGCAATGTCTGTAACAAAAGCAAGTTTATTTTCTTGTTGGAACTGCACATATTTTGAATTCAGTTTCAAATGGGAGATGTGTTTTATTCACCTGGCTTGCAGAGAATTTACTGGTGCTTGTTGTTTAGCATGTGTGACACAGATGCTGAGACTTATCAGTATTCCTAATGTTGAATTGCTTTTATGAACCTATTTATGTTTAGAATTAATTGTCAGTAATGGCTCATAAGAGAGATTAATCTCCAAGGAAAGCTTTCCAAAGTGAAACTCCACTGACTTGTGTTCCTGCTGACTCTTTTTGCAGGTGCCAAACCAGCTGCTTCCGTTGACCCTTGGGCAGCACCAGCAGGATCCACAGCTCAGTCTCTGTCCAAAAATGTTGACCCTTGGGCTCCTGCTCAGCCATCTTCTACTGCAGCAAAATCTTCTGTGGATCCTTGGGGACCAGCACCTGCAAACAAACCTCTCACTACTTCTGGTGAGAAACAGTCTCATCCCAAATCCGTATTGTTTGACTAATGAAGATGAAATCAGAATTATTTTCTTGTGTTACTTGGTTAGAAGAAGCTACGTGCTGAACAATTTGCAATACTGGTTTGTGAAATAAATTGTAGCTGTAATAGCTAGCAGTGAAAAGAACTTCAGATGTAATTATTCTCACTTAGAGCTCTGAATTCGTGTTGCTTCCTTGTGCTCTTTCCTTTCTCCGTTCTTTTATTGGTATGAGTGGATGCACGCTGAGCACTTAAGACTGCTGCTGCTGTTGGGTTTTTAAATGGGTTTTATTTTTAATTAGACAAGGACTTAATTTCTGGAAATGAATGATACTATAATTTTACCTTTCATCATGATAAATAGCTATGCAGATGGATGTCTCTGCAGATGTAGATTGACAGGTTGAGCAGCTCCGCTGCTTTTAGAGGTGCAAATGAAGGTTTGTTACTTCAGACTGAGAGTGTGAAAGCTGTCCCTAAGCCCTTGTGTGGCAAGATGCAGAAGGTGCTGATGTAATTGTCTGTTCATGCTCTGTAACTAATGCAACCTTGATGAATCTTTAGTACCTGGTATTTTCATGTTGGCACTGTGGCTAATTGCATCCTAAATGCATTTTCTGCTAGTCATTCATCTCAGTGCATAATAAACAAAGGAGTCTCAAACAGAGCACTGCAAAAAGTTGTCTAATCAGCTTTTCACTGGGCAGAGGGCAATAACTGGATCATTATGAGAATGATTCTTTAAGTAGGGTGGGTTCTTTAGAAGTATTGTTGTTAGACACAATCTTCACTTGTCCTCTTGGGTTTTTGTCTTTTTCATGCTCTTTATGGCGCTAAGTCTGTGCCTTCATTTGCTGCAAACGTGTTGAAGGTTAAAACTAAATTGGAAAAATATTTCAACTAATATTAAAAAAAAAAAAAGCAGCAAACTTTAAAGCTTTTCAGGAGTGTGACTGCTGTTCATTTAGGTATGGTTTTTCTTCCTCCATTTTGAGGTAAGGGTGTGTCCACATTTTGAAAATGTTATGTTTTCATTTGTTGCAAACTATGGGCAAGTTCTGGTGCTTTAGCTAACAGGACCTTACCATCTCTACATGGCATAGATCATCTTTTCTACTGCGTTCCTGCTCCTTTTAACTTCAGATGCATAAATCAAATCATCACTTCGGTTATAGCAATGATATATTTGTCTCTGGAACTGGATTCAAAGTGTGTTTTATTCGAGGGCTGATTAACACACTTTCTAGTTTAGGCTGTAAATTCATTGCTCTTCTCTTCCTCTGCAGTAATACATGCCTGCCTGTGCATCTCTAGTGCAGACACTCAATAAAAGCCCAGCAGCTGAGGTGTGCCCTTACCTGGTGATTTAAAGGTGCATTGTTCCAAATTAGTTGGCTAATCCTGTAAGAAAGAACAGTTCTCTGACATGATCCTGGTCCTGGGGAAGAGTAGGAATGCTCAAGCTGATCTGAACTGCTGCTCTGGAACCTGACAGAGTGGCCTCTTGATAACATGAATGGGTTAGAAATTGCTCTCAGTAGGATCAGGTGTGTGATGCAACTGAAGATGTGTTAATGACAGGGCTGTCTTGTTGTTTTGAACAGGAAGTACATCTTTTGACCTCTTCAGTAATTTGAATGGTACAGTTAAAGATGATTTTTCTGAATTTGACACACTTCGAACTTCCAAAAAGCCAGGTATGAATCAAATTCTTAGCACGTGGACAGTTTGGGTGATAGTCTCAGCAACAAGTGTCTCTCTTCTTAAATTTTATTTAAAAAAAATTACTTTCACAAAGGAAAAAATTAAAGCTGGTGATAATGCAGCAGTAAAAGCTTGTTGTTAACATTTTGGCCTGTGCATGAACTTAGGAGAAATAGGCCTTTTGCATTGTGAGCTGTAGAATTTCACTGTGTAACCTTTTGCTGCATTGACCCAGAAATTTGTTTGACTTCTAAATTTACAGTATCTGCTGTGTTTGGAGTATGGCTCATGCTCAGACAGTCAAACAGAACAATGTTGACTGATTTTCTCAAACCTGTAAATTCTAATATGTAACAATAGTAGGAATATGAGAGAATACACTTCTATGAATGCTTTAATTTCTTTTTTTTATTTGGTCATGAGTCACTAAAATAAAAACTGCCAGACCTTAACGTTTAAGTGCTTTGATACTGTGTACTTTCAGGATGGTTCTGCCTGAAAGCATAGTGACTAATTCAAAGCTGGGCTAGGCTTCTTTTAACACAAAAGAGAGAACCTGGGTGGAATCTAGCTAGGAAGGGTGCAGCAGTGGTGTGATGCAAGGGCAGAAGCCAAGGCTTTTTGAATATCTTTTCCTTGGAGACTTTTAGTCCCAACTGTTGCAGCGGGTTTGTGAGAATATCCATCAGGGCAAATCAGGTAGCACCTTCAGTAGAGCACTGCAACTCTTAACTCTAGCTTCTTCTGCTATTCTAAAGAACATTTATCTGCTTGCATGCTACAGGGGTGTAACATGTACTGAAACATTTAAATCTGACTAATATGAATATTAGATTTTAAAACATTGCTGTTGTGCTTGACTCTGTAGATTAATGAGATAAGTTTTGTTTTTTCTTCTTTGTGTTGTTTCAGCTGAATCAGGTTCCACTTTGCCATCTCAGCATAGCGGTACCACAAGTCCTGATCTCTTTGATTCCCAGCACTCAAGCATGACATCAGGCAAACAAAGTGCAGCTCGGAAAACCCCCGAGTCTTTTTTGGGCCCCAATGCTGCTTTGGTGAACCTGGATTCACTGGTGTCTAAGCCGCCACAACCTGTTACTTCACTGAATCCATTCTTGGCACCAGGTCTGTTTCTGCACGTTCCTGAAGTTTTCTGGTTTAGCTTTCCCTTCCTATAGGAAAACTTTGCATAACCATTTCTATTTGATTTAATATCAGCTGGTGTGGGCTTGTTTTTCTTGACTACTTCAGCCAGCAGATCATGCCTGAGAGCAGGAAGGTGAGCCATCATGGTTTCAAGGCTTACAGCTGGACCCTGAAAGCGCAGAGTTTCTACTCTTGCGTCTGCAGCTGATCTGCTGGTTGAGCTTTGGTCAAGCAGTTTTTCTTCCACTTTTGTACTTGCCCTTTCAAAATCATCTGTGTTAGAAGGCAGCTTTGGATTATTAAAAATGGCTGAGCTAAAGCTGATTGACTGTCAGAACAGGTAAGAGGTGAATGTGTGCCACCAGAGAATCCCTTGGGAGAGTGATAGGTAGTAGGTTCTTGTGGAATCAGGTGGGATTTACCCTCTTGCTTGTGCTGCAGTAGGCACAGTAGCATCTCAGACTGCAGCCTAAGGTTCCAGATAGCAAATTCTGCAGTGTAGTTTAGTGCCTTGCTGGTTAGGCTGTCTTTAGCTAACGTGATAAACCAGTTTTGATCAAAACAGGCTATCAGTGTATTTTGAAAAAAACAGGCTGTTGCAGTTCTCCTGTTAGTCGACCCCTGTTAGAAGTGAGCCTTGACTTAGAGCAGACTTAGATGGTGACACTAAACACATGGAAGATGTGTGTGTTTTTTAAAAGCTATTTGTGTGCATTGAAATTTCTGTGTGACACTAGTATGGTAAAATACTTTAAAAATGCCATTTCACTATTTATTTTCTTCACTCTTCC